GGGTGAATCTCAAGGGCAGAGTGGGACGGCACCGTGCCTTCTACTGTAGCTGGGAAGAAGGACAAGTCTCACTGGGCTCCACTTTACCTGAGGCCAGCTCTGAATCAAAAAGCATAAATCTCCCCTTTTGGGGAGACCCTGGAGAAGTGCTGCTCCATGGCCATGGGCCTGGAACCAGCCACACTGCCTGCCGCCACGGTCAGTGGCAGGGAAACTCAAACCGCTGCGCTCGCGGAGTTGGCGTTCAGGCCCAGGAAGGCTGCCGGGGCTTGCGTCATCAGGCTTCTCAGCTGAACGTCATGGGCCCATGGGTGATGCCATGCCTCAGGCCCATGCGTGTCTTTCCTTAGAAAGACAGGTGGCAATGGAGGGCGTTTTGGAAACCTGGGACGCTCACTCACTGTTCTTTCAAGACCAGCGGTGGGTCTGAGCCCGGTGAGTAGGTTAGCATTTCTAGGTGTGTCTGTCGCCGTTTATCATTCGTGATCAGGACAGAAGGTTTCACTTCAGGGGTGGGTATACTTCTTGGCACAGAGCAATGCCTCAGAGGCCTAGGCCAGCCGGTCGGAACCTGCTTAGCTGCCAGCAAGTGGGCTTTTGAGAAGTCTGCCTCAGGCCAAGCACCTTCCTCCACCTCTGTCTGCCTCCATGCTGCCCAAGTGTCAGCCCAGCTCAGGTGTCCCCTCTCTTGGACCCTCGAGCGCTCCGGATTTCTCCCAGGACTTCTTCTTGTCCCAAATAGGCTGGGGGGTTGGGGGGAGGCAGTTCCTGGAGGACAGATACCGAGTCTTTGTTCCTTCACATGAGCTCTGCTACTCCCCAGGATATGTCTGGCTTTCCTCAAGCGAGGAGAGGAGGTGTCAGAAGACCCATCAGATTGGTTTTCGAGCTGAGCTGTGGCCTGTGGAAGGGCTTCAGGCACCTGGGCTCCACTGGAGAAGTATCTGACATTTGCCAATGAACTTGGGGGCACACTAAACTTCAGAGTCTGGAGGTAGAAATTCCCTTGGCTGGATCTCCAGGTCTAGCTGGTCCCCACCCAACCCCTCAGAGACTCCCCCATGGACACTGCCTGGGCCTCAGGGGCTGTGTCCTGGATGCTGCTGTGCTCCTAATGCTGCCCTTTCCCTCCTCAACCCATGGTCCCGCTCTCAATAACCCCTTACCACCCTACAGGTCCTGCCCGAGGAGGGAACAGTCTGCCTCGGGGCCATGTGCACCTGTGGCCAGAGTTCCAGCTCTGTGGCAAGGGAGGGGGGGGGCAGGCATCAGACAGCAGGGCGGCCCATCCTTTCAGGGGAAGCCTGCCAGGCTGGGGCTTGGGGCTAGTGCTGCTGCTTTTGTTTTGTTTTGTTTTTATTTATTTTAATTTTTTTTAAACGTTTATTCATTTTTTGAGAGACAGCGCGAGTGGGGGAGTTGCGGAGAGAGAGACACAAAATCCAAAGCAGGCTCCAGGCTCTGAGCTGTCAGCACAGAGCCTGATGTGGGGCTTGAACCCACAAACCATGACATCATGACCTGATCCGAAGTCGGACGCTCAACCGACTGAACCACCCAGGCGCCCC